CTCCCCTCCGCTGCCGCCGCGCTCCCGGCCTGTTCGCTTCCCCCCCTGCCTGGTGCGGTGCCGGCTCTGTCTCAGCCTCAGCCTTGACCTGCGCCCGCCGCTTTTCCCTCCCTGGTCCCCGAAATAAACGGGCGTTTTCCCGAACGGGCTCGGCCTCGCGTGGTTCTTCGCCCACCGCTGAGCGAATTGGGTCCTTTCAAAAGTCGCGATAAAGCTGGGCCAGGCCGGCCTGTCAGCCGTGCGATGGAAGGGCTGTCCCTGCCGGGTTTCGGGGCACCAGAAATATTTTGCACAGTTGTTGAGTCGGTCAACGCAAAAATATACCCTTGCTGGTGTTCATCGCTTTATTTAGACAAGGGTAAAACTCCTGAATGTATGCATGCCTATAACATACCCTTCTACACAGAAAAGAGGGACGGAGTGCTCTTAATAACTTCCTTAGAGTGTAATTCTTCCGGTGCTTTCAGTTCAAAGCATTTAAACATCTTTTCAATACGCACAGAAACGTAGTGTTGCGCACGTGTACGAACACTGTATCATTTGGTGAAGAGATTAATTCGGGTCTCTGATGAAGGGTAACAGCTTCAACTGCCCCAGTGACTGCTGTTTGGATAAGCCTAACTATAAGCTAAACAAACTTAGGATGATAATAACTAGAAAGAATGCCTTTCTGGCTTGAAGTTCCCTCACATCAATGGTTTGTTCTGCTTGACAAGCTTCACTGTCCAAGTACAAACCAGGCTCAACACTGATGAATTAAAAAATGTAGCACACACAGAATAATCTAAATTAAAGCTACACAAAAAAAAAAAAATCATGTTTTCCGTAATATCACAAAGTCTACCTGCATGGAGCATCTTGCAGGATTAAATAATGATGAACATGATTTTTGTTACTGCTGACAGCAAGTGTTCCCTCTTTTGGAGAGAGAGAGAGGATTTTAGCGTATTGTTTGTACAAACATAATTATCCAAACAGTAATTTAGGGAGGAGAGGATGGACCTGAAGAGAGTTGGAACCTGTTTAGTTTTTTTTTTTTCCTCTTATTAACTGTAAGAAAACCATCAACGGTATCTTAAATTGTATTTATTTCTTTGCCCTTACACCCCTGACTCAAATGAGTTCTGATCGCATGCAAATGCAAAGGAATACATTTGGTCAGCCTGGTTATTGGTTTAAATATGAAGGCATTCTTCGCTCTCCAGCAAGTAGAAATACTCGTTTCCCCAATGACTAAACATATTGGCATATGTGGAATACACTTTTATTCTCTTTCCCAAAAAGCCATACTCTTACTGCATAGAAGAAACAAGCTGTTTGTACCTAACCTAAAATTTCTATAACTTCCTATTAAATTTGGAGGGAAAAAAACCAAGACTTTTTATACATCTACCACTTTTGATCCACTTGTCCTGGTTTCACCTTCTCTTTCTTTTCTGTTCATAAGGCATCTGCCCTGTTCTGGGTGTAACGTGCCTGGGTATTTTGCTGACTGATATTTTGTTTTGTTTCTTGCTGTTTTATGTGGCTACATACAGACCTACATTACTTCAAACTTTCACTTTTTCTGCCCAAAGCTCTATTTGTTTTGGTTACGTTTATATCCACTTGTTGATCTTACTAGCCATATAATTCATCCCTCCAACCGTATGCAACTGCCCTAATGTGTTTCCCTGGCTATTTTTTTCCCAAAGTTACCAATTCTTGCCTCCAAGGCTGCCCCCGAATCCTTGAGAAAAAGTTGATGGCTCTTAGGTAGTCCTTTGAGGGCAGCCTCCAGCAGCTGCTACAAGGAAGCGCAGGGAGGGTGGGGGCCCCCAGAAGCCCTGGTTTAGGGGGGCTCAGGTTGGCGCTGCATTTCGCCGTTAGTTACCCTACCTTGCGCCGACGGCCAGCGATGGACGGAAGCGCACCTATCGCCCCTCGGGTTTCTTGATTTGCTAGGCGAGCATGAGGCACGCAGGCTCCTTACAAAATGCTGTTGTGGCTGATCTCAGTAAATACACCAATAGTTGCTGAGTGAAAAGATTGGCCCCTCCTGTTCTGATAGTCCAGAGGGCTTGCCAATGCCTAGAATGAATTCATTGTTTCAGCCTGGGAAGACTCAGGTATGTGTCTGGTATTTCCCAGGAGAGGGCATAACCATCAGAAGTGCTTAAGTATTTAACATTGGGTTTGGATTCAGCTGGATGGACACATACTTTTAACCTGAATTTTCAGTTTCTCTATATATCTTTTACGTAAAAGGTATCTAACTTGTCTTGGGTTATTGGGTTCTGCTCTTGTCTCTCCCACCCACTTAGGTGAGGGGGACTGATACCAGAAGGGAGATGTATTTTTCCTGTTTGAACAGACAAGTGGTAGCCAAAATACTTCATTCTTCCCATTACAAATAGATGGGTTTACTACTTGTTGATATTTCTTCCTCTCCTTTAGCTATTTATGTTTCTGTATCCAAGTCCCCCCACATGCCTTTTCAGAACTCTTTAGTCCTGCCTCTGCTTTGCTCTTTAAGCCTTGTCAAATCACTTGCATCTTTGTGAATTGCATTGCCCGTCAGGAGACAGAGATCCTTGCCTACGTGTAAGATATCAGTTATAGTCATCTGGGTTTAAGAGGTGTTACTAAAGCATGATATGCAGGTATTAGAGAAAAATATCTAAGAGACATCCACTGTTGCATCAGATGCAACAAGTTTTTATTTTTGACAAAAGTTTTTGACAAAACTGTTAAGTTTTACATGGAAGTCATTTGCTTTTCAGAGTGTAGAAAAATGGATTTGGCCAACCATGGACTTATTCTGCTGCAGCAACTAAATGCTCAGAGAGAGTTTGGTTTCCTGTGTGACTGCACGGTTGCCATTGGTGATGTCTACTTCAAGGCACACAAATCGGTCCTTGCTTCTTTCTCCAACTACTTCAAGATGTTGTTTGTTCATCAAACCAGGTAACTATAAAAAGGTTCACTGTTTAAATGTTGTTCAGCTAGCTAAGCTAAGGAGGTCTAACAACATTTTGAAACCTGAAAATGTTCCTTTTGCTTCTTGCTATGACATAAGGAATATGGAATCCAGTCTTATCTGCAAACTAGAATCTCAGTTTAAAACCTGTTAAAGTTGAACTGTGATTCATTAACACTAATGTTGTAATTCAGCACAAGTTCTTTATCCTTAAAAAAAGCAGAGAATTCCTAGAATTGAATATTTAAAGGATTCTGTCTTCAGTCTTGCACTTTCCTTCCCCCACTCACTATCCTCTACTCTGTCTTGGCCCTATTCTTGACATTTCCATAACATATACAACCCAATAAGTATTTGCCAGGAGATTTTGAGAAATGGACTTTTAAAAGAGGTCAATATGTTTCTTTTTTTTTTACAGTTTACCAAAGTCAGTTAAATAATAAAATACTACATAGTTGTGGAAAATAAGGGAGTTTGTGTTTCTTCCTTTTTTTTTTTTTTTTTTCTTTTGGCCAGCAGCCTTACATGGAGGGCATTGAAAAGATAACAAAAGTGTAAGACTGTTTTCAAGATTTTTTTTTCTTTTTCCCAATTATTTGAACTATCTCAAAAAGTTTATGTTAAGTGAGTGAAACTCTTAAGTCTTTGGCTAAAGGTTCTTAGCCAAAAGTAAACATCAAGGACAGAAGTGCACGTGCACTACTCAGACAGGACTGCCGGCAGATGTGCCAGTCTTGATGCTTCATCAAGAGCACACAGTCATCTCTGGAAGATGGCATTGCAAAGTTTACTTTTGATTAATGGGTGAGAATTCAAAAGCAGTCAGAGAGAAAGATAAGAAGGGTGCACCTCAAGAAATGGAAGAATTGGCTATAATTTCCTCCTCGGCTTGGTAGCCTACTGTGGTTAGAGCATTCAGACCACAGCGTGCGGCCACGTCCGTTTCTAGATTTCTGTCTTTTATTTAATGTTTGTTTAATACAAGAGCTACAAATACCTCTGAAAAAGGATTAGAATCCCAGATCCTTTCCTGTTAGCTGACTGGCCTAACCAAGTCTTCATTTTCTTTCTTCTTCTGTGAACCGTGCCTCTCTTTCTGCACAGAGATTCAGCTTCAGCCGGAGGAGCGGTGGGCGTTTCAGGCCAGAATATCCTAAAGGGTGACGCGTAGGGCACGCTCTCAGCTGGAGGATGGTGGTGGTTTCAGTCCTGCTAGGCTGAAGAGGGCATCACGGCCAAAGCGTCTCCCTTTGTCGAGCGCTCTAACCGAGGGGATGTTAGGCTGACCAGGCGTCCCACTGGTGCTACTGTTTCTTCCTCCCTGTCCAAGGAAGGAAGCTACCGTTCTGTTTTGTAAGGAGCCTGGCCTCCACGGGTTAGATGTGCCCGGGCTTCAGCTGTTGCATCAGATCACACGCTGGCCTGCATGGTTTCTGGATCGTAATGCAGTTGAGACAAGGTGATGCCACACATTTGCAGAACTGTAGCTGTAAATGCTAGTAAGCCATAGAAGCCAAACAGGCAGGTGCCAGGTGAATTTTAACTGTTTTCAGGGCTAAGTACTGAGAAAAGTTTAATGGATTGTGAATTTAGAGTCTAGTGCTAGCAGGTTTTAATTTAGCTACAGATGCATTTGAATCCAACCAAAAAAAGGGGAAAAATATCTTTGCAATTTACAAATACATTAATATGTGGCAACAAATCTATAACATAACAGCAATTGAGAAAGGTGTATATTGCAATGCGACAGCTTTGTCTTTCAAGCCAGTTACTTTCCCGAGGAAAAAAAAGTCATCTCTCAAGTGGCCAATAAGGTTAGCTCGTTTATGTTAAAGCATTTCTCTATATTTATTGGAGATTGAATTTAAGTAGATGCCTCTGATTTTTATCAACGCGTGAATGACATAGATCTGGTAAAAAAGATTCTCTCTATCTCTTATTGATCATTTTGTTTCACCTTTCAGTGAATGTGTCCGTCTGAAAGCGACTGACATACAGCCAGATATCTTCAGTTATCTCTTGCATTTGATGTACACTGGGAAGATGGCACCACAACTCATTGACCCAGTTCGGCTAGAACAGGGAATAAAGTTTCTGCATGCATATCCACTAATTCAGGAGGCCAGCCTCGCAAGTCAGGGAACTTTTTCTCACCCGGATCAAGTTTTTCCATTAGCATCTTCATTATATGGCATTCAGATTGCAGATCACCAGATAAGACATCCCGCTAAGGTTACATCAGCAACTGACAAACTCGGGCGAGAACCAAGGCCGCAGACATCACGGATGAACCAGGAGCAGGTTTCTGAAGGCTCACAGCTCTCGCAGTTAGCTACAACTCTGCCACAAGTGACCCGGACAAATATGTCCACTTCTGACCCATTGCCATCTTCTTTATCTCCAGAATTGGTATCTGCTGCTGGTAATAATTCACCTGCAGGAGAGGAGGCCAACATGGAAGCATCTTCTTCAGATGAACAGCCTGCCTCACTCACAATAGCACATGTCAAGCCAAGCATTATGAAAAGGAACGGAAGCTTCCCAAAATACTATGCCTGCCACCTCTGCGGTCGCCGGTTCAATTTGCGAAGTAGTTTGCGTGAGCACCTGCAGATCCACACGGGAGTTCCCTTCACATCTAGCCAGCAGGGAGAAAGTAATATTTCTTTGTCTCTCTGTAACAACACAGCTGATAAAGATGCCGTGGAAGTGCCTGAAGCAGGGATGATTAGTGACAGCGAGCTGCAGCAGATCTCAGACTCCCCGATAATTGATGGGCAGCAGCAGTCAGAGACACCGCCCCCCTCCGATATCGCAGATATAGACAACTTGGAGCAGGCAGATCAAGAGAGGGAAGTAAAAAGACGGAAATACGAATGTTCCATCTGTGGTCGCAAATTTATTCAGAAAAGCCACTGGAGGGAGCACATGTACATACACACTGGCAAGCCCTTCAAGTGCAGCACTTGTGACAAAAGCTTTTGTAGGGCTAACCAGGCTGCCAGACACGTGTGCCTAAACCAGAGCATGGACACGTACACGATGGTGGACAAACAGACGCTGGAACTCTGTACTTTTGAGGAAGGCAGTCAAATGGACAACATGCTAGTACAGACCAACAAGCCCTACAAATGTAACTTGTGTGACAAAACGTTTTCAACTCCCAATGAAGTAGTCAAACATTCGTGCCAAAATCAAAACTCTGTCTTTACGCTAGAAGAAGATCGCTCCATTCTGCTAGGTGGTGGGGACACAGAAGCCACAGAGACTGATAATGCAGTGTTAGCCTCCATCAAAAAGGAGCAGGAAGCAGTGTTGTTAGACTGAATGTGAAACCTATATCAATTTTTTAAAGTTTCTTTACTCATTTTTTATTAAATCAATTTTTCCTACCCCACCTCTTACCTCACCCCTTGCCATTTTTTCCACCAGCCTCCTTCCCATCCTTTGTCTTCAGCAACCAGAACTGTACTGGCACGTTAGGAAATTGGACTTTGCCTCTCCCACCAAAACAAACAAAAAGCTCTTGCATCAAACCACAATGTAATTGATTTTAATACAAAGGAACGTGTGAAAAAATAATCCAGCTAACTATGTTTATAGTATTAGTTAATCCAAATTTAATAGATTTTAAACAAAATTTAGATTGCTTAAAAGTGTATTTAGATACAATGATGAGTGTAATGAGAAACAGAGTATCAGTTTGGTAAGCAAAGAATATATATATATATATATTAGTTTCCCTGGTAAAAGGCATTTTGAGAAAGATCTGGCAAAGTAAACACCATGCTTTTTAGAAGTCCACATGCAAGTTGATTAAGGTTATAACATAAAACCCTCAGAACTTTTCTCAATGCAAAAAAATATCTGTTCATTGAGTTAAAAGAGCCGAGGGTGTTGGTTTTCTTTTAGCCTTATGTTTTCCTTCAAGTATGCCTTTGGGTATCTGTTTCAGATCATTGAGTCAAGCAAAGTAGTTACTTAGTCAAATTTTGACTTAAGTAGCTGTAATAATAATGTGATGGCAATCTTTATATATATATATAAAATGCTGTATATGTATAAAGATT